GGTAAGGGGCCCAAAAAAGGGGGGGTGGGGGATTTGGGGGGGGGGGGGGGGGGGGGGGGGGCGGCAACAACACACCAAACAATCAGATTAATGTCATAGGTGTCAAACTCAAGATGCGCAAATCTGACCCGGCCCTCCACCTCATTTTATGCGTCTTTTGTGGTTTTGCACTCAAATTTGCCTTACTATTGCAAACCGTCTTGACTTTTCATGGTTATTGGAAGCATTTTGTTGTTGTTGTTACTAACTACAGTTTTTTTTTTAAATAAATGAACGATACTTGAAGCGTTTTTCCTTGACTCCTGATTTTAAAATGTGGTACGCAGTAATTTGTTGATGATCACACGGCTCCAGAGACCGCTGCAAAATGATCAGTGTCGCTAACTCTGCCATTGACAGGATTACTTTGAGGTCAAATGAGCATTTCTCTTATTCTACAACCAAGCGGTACTGACAACTCCCAAATTTCAAAGTGGCGCCTTGAGATACAAGTGACCCAACTTCAAAAATGTTTTCCAGATACAAGCCATCAGGCATCATGCAAACAGATGACACAACAAATGGCAGTTTGGCAGATAAAATTAGTAAATCATCTTAAAAATTAGAAGCTGCGGGCTGTTTATTGCCAGTCTCAGCTGAAGTTTGCTGTCAAACAATCGCATAGCCTGCGTTACCTTATTGCTAACACACAATGGGAACCCTCTCTCGACACGGGCAAACAACTGGCATCTATGTGGCACTGTTGTTACCCTTTATAGAACATATCTGAACACAACCAGCAACACACGTAAAGAGATAACATCACAAATACTCAAGGATGTATATTCTTGATCCTCAGCAAAGAACCGCTATCACTACTGTACTGAGAAGCCAATAGAGGAGCTGCGTCGACAGCTCATTCCAATATACCTGTATGCCCTTCACGTGTTTTGTGTTACAAGCGTGGTGCAGGAACATATTTAAGTTGTATCTCAAGGCACCACAGCTCAAATATTGCAATTTAGGACATTTGTTGGCAGAAAATGAAAAATGGTCAAGATACCCCAAACCTTTTGAGTATCAACATTTTTCCAGAAGCCGTTAACGACCCACTGAGGGAAAGCAGAACTACAATGCAGCTCACAACAAAAATGAGTTTGACACCTCTGGATTAATGTCACAAAGCAGGGCGCCGGGACAAAGAAAGAGCGCAAGAAAGTGGAGGCATGAGGGGGACGCAAGTAGAAAAGTGCAGGCCTCATCTGTCAGCTTCATGGAAAAATATCTGCCAAGTACAAAAGCAGTCAAAAGGAAAGACTGAGAGAAGGAAGAAGAGATACGAGGAGTTCAAAATGAAGGCCTGAAGAGAGATAAGACACTAGTTTCACCACCGAGAGACGGTCTCCAAATAAATCCATAGCGTCATTATTATTATTATTATTATTCATCAGCATCATTGTCTCTAGTAATGCTGCATTATTATTATTATAATGGTCCACTTTGCGTTCAAGGGTTATTAGTGTGAATCCTGGCCTCCCCCGCAGCGCACGCTCCCACCGCTATTAAGAGAAGATGCGTATGCACTGCGTGGTGGGCGTGTGGCACACGGGGCACTCGGGCTCGGCCGATTGGCAGATCTGCCCGGCGCACTCCATGCAGAAGAGGTTGTGGCCGCACGGCACCAGGGCGGCCGTCACCTCACTCTCGAAGCACACAAAGCAGTCCCTGTTGACCCCGGGGCCCGCGCCCACCAGGCCCGCCACGCCAGGGCCCGGCCCGCCTTTCAGCCGAGTCAGCATCCCGGAGCTGAGGCCCACGCCGCCCGCGCCGCCCTCCGAGTCGGTGGGTGAGCCGCCGGGCAGCGAGGACGCTGAGCAGGAGGAGTAACCTGTGGACGAGCCGCCCGAGCTGGAGCTGGAGCCCCCGGAGAAGGAGGAGGAGCCGCCGCCGCCGCTGCCACCGCCTGCCGCGTTGCTGGACTGCAGCCAGGAGAGCGTGCTCAGGGGGTCGCTCTGGGCGCGGCGGGCCAACGGGTGCTCCAGGGGCCCGGCTCCGGCATCCTGGGGCAGCGTCGGGGACAAGCGTGGAGTGATGGCCCCGCCGCTCAGGCCGCTACTGTTGCGGCGAAGCGGCGGCTGTGGGTGCGAAGGGCCGCCCGATTTGTTGGCGCCGTTGACGAAGGGGGCCCAGATCTTGGAAGCGCTGAATTCAAAGCTCAGTTCGTCTGAGGAAGGGAGCGGAGTGGAGTCGCCCCCGAAAGTGAATCCTCCGCCGGCGCTGCTGGAACTCGTGCTGAAGGGGCTGGTCGGGCTGGCCCCTTCGTTGCCTTTGCGGCCCCCGCCGTAGCCCTCGGCACTCATCGCTCCGTTGTGCGCGTGATAGGCCACCGAGGAAGACATCTTACGGTTCACCGACATCTGCATGGCGGCAGGCGGCGGGGAGGGCGGAGGGGGCGGGGGGGCGGAATGGTGGTTGGCGGCCCGCGACCACAGGGATGCCCCGAGTCCCGCGCTGAGGGCGCCCAGGCCCTCGAGGCTGACGTCAGTGCCGTTGGTGTGGAAGTCGTTGTCTCCCTGCAGGTCGACGAAGGTTCCGGTCCTCAGCGTGATGTGGGTCTCGATTTCCTCCCTGGCCCGGTCCACATTCTCGGGCATGCCGGTCACCTCAAACACGGGGTCCTTCTCTCGACTGGGTGTCACAATGTAGGTGTGGGTCTGCTGTTGGATGCGCTTGATGGTGGCTCCCTTTGGACCCACGACAAGACCTACCACTCTGTAGGGTACCCGCACCTGGGCCACAACAAACACAAATGCAAGTAAATCAACGAGGACATTTTATTCACAAAGCATTTTTCACACAAAGGACTAACAGTGTTTCCTTAAAAAAAAAAAAAAAAAAAAAAAGTCTAAACAAAAGTGCATTAACTGCTCTTTAAAAATGTCCGCAGACGATCCAATTACATGAAAAAAATACATCCCAGTTTGGTGGTAACAAACTACAAGACTTTATCGCTTTCAGATTTTTATTTAGTTTGAAGGATATTAAAAGTCAGCAGTCCAGCAGTACCTGAATGGTTGTTTGTCCAGGGAGGTGCGGTGGTCCAGGAAGTGAACCTCCCCCTCCTCCACCTCCCCCTCCTCCGGACCCTCCTGCTTTGCAACGGGACGCTCGTATCATGGAGAAATGCTCAGCCGCGGAGACGATCTCCCGCTTGGCCATTTCCACGTCCTCCCTGCGCCCTGTCACGATGAACACCGGCTCCTCACCGCGAACCGGCGTCTTTATGTAAGTGTTGGTTTTGGCCCGCAACGCTTTGATCTTACAACCTGTATGAGAAACAGATGTAGAAAGATGGCAGGTTTATGACAAACACTCATCAAAAACCATGTTATTGTGTTTGTAAAGTGGGCACATATACTGCAGATGCAAGGATGGCCACTAGGGGAAGTGCAACATAATAAAATGACATACATTGTCATAACTTGACTTACAAGTTAAATTTTTTTGGTGGCTAAACTGACTAAAGGTATTAATTTTTTCACACTTCAACATGTGGTAACACTGTATTAAAAAATCAACAGTTCAGAACTCATTTTTATTATCTGGACTCATATAGCCAATGTCGATCATGGAGCATGCGAGTAGTTTTTTTTTTCTTCCTAGATGTTATTGTTCGTATACATTCAATTAACCACCAAATGAGATCAATAAATAAATTTTGAACTAACAGGTTTTAAGGGAAAATAACTGCTAAATTAATGCAACAAATATTAAAAGCATTCTTGCTACTTTAAATTCTTGGTGAAGCTGGATATCCGCGATCTCGGATAAAGCTCAAAGAGCTGCTCATACACAATATGCAGTTATCCACTTCGATGAAACATTTAAAGGGCTGTGTTCCAAATGAAGCCTCAGACTTAACCCCTTTCTGTTGGCTGTTAGGGCCCGCGATGCACTGTGCCTTTAAATGATGACGCGACATAGAGGCGACCAATAGGAGGCGCGAACTGTGATGTCATTGTGGGAAGCAGAAAGCATGGCTTTTTCAAACAAAGAGAACAATGCTGGAAACGCCGCCGCGGCCGCGGCAAGCTAGTCGGCAGCTAAAAAAGCGCCAGCCGCTGTCGAGAGAGCGCGACGGAGACAAAGGGGGCGAGAAATTCAGTTGGAGCGAGGCGAAGCGAGGAGCGACGGTGTACGGACGGAGCGAGCTAGCGCTTTTGGGTGCAGGGCGTAACACCGCCCAGTCCCGTGTTTTTGAGACGGTCTGCTACATTTCGGCACCCCCAAAAGCTCACATTCGCACAATAATGCACCGTTTAAGCATATTCGGAACATATGGGTGACACTTGCTTTCCACCCGAGCCCCCTTTTTTCGGTTTAAGGTGCATTCAAGGTTCATTTGGGGCCATTTCTTTTGTTTGGTGCAGACTGCAAGATAGGTCCAGACTGCTTTGTCTGACCCCGTCCCACCCTCCCCCTCCCCCCTCTGCCGCGCTACCTGTCAAACTATTGTACAAAACAGTGTGAAAAGCACGCACCATTTGCAGCAAATATGACATTTTAAACTCAGTAAAGACCGCGCCGGTTTGTGTTGACACACAAGCCTAGTCTGGGAACTCAAGTAGTTTCCGGGGGTTCTGAGCACCTAAACAAAGAACCACCGGGCAGCCCTCTGACAAAACAAGCGCGCTAAAGTCTCACCTTGCCTCCCCACGATCTCCGCCACATGCTCGGAGCTCGGAACGGGCACACATTCGGTCATGTTGACGCTTCTCTTTCGGTTGCAGAGGACGGAGGAGCTTTGTTCCCCATGAAGCATCGGGTGCGCGCCGCCGGCCATGTGGTAGCCGCCCGAGCCGTAGTACTCCGGGGACGGGGAGCAGGAGGTCGGCGAATCCCGGGAAATTTGTAGGTCCGCGTAGCCTTCCGAGGCTGGGGCTTGGGTCCCATCCAGTGTGTCGACCAGCCCGCCGCCGCCTCCTCCTCCTCCACAGTCTACCTTTTCCAGGGCCATGAGTGACAGCTGGTCCAGGGCGAAGCGGAGCACCTCCTGGTGATCTTCATCCCGGGATTCTTGGTCCGTTTCACGGGGCAGACCGACCCCGTTGTGCTGGCTGCTGATCACCACGTCGTGGTCCATAATGTCGGGGTGGAATAAAGGGCTAGGCATAGTCTCTCCGTGGATACAACATTAGATCACGGATGTCTGCTTGTTTTGGGTGAGATCGCCCCACTTCTGAAAGGATAACAAAAAGGATATAAATTTGGGAAAAGGGAGGGATGGAGAATAGGATGTTTTGGGGTGGGTGTCAGCTTTTTGGGCGCCTTGCTTTGTCTTGTTGTGACTGACAACTCCAAGCATCCAGCTTTGTCGGGATAAAGGAAAAGAGTGCTCCTTGAAACAACACACAATGCGTATTCTTCCGCCCCACGCAAACACCACCAAACGATACGTGTCGCGAGTCACTTTAATATTAGTAAGAAAAAAAGGCGACGAAAAGTGTCAGAAGTGGTGTTGTTAGCTCCGGCTAGCCAGTTAGCGGGCTAGCTCCTCCACACTCAGTCACGTTGCCGACCCCTTTGTTTGGGAGCTAAGCTAGCTCCACTGTGGAACTCCTTTTAAAACACACACGCACGCTCACACTCGGATTCCTAAATGCAATCAAAACGTCCAAACTTACTTTATCCCCACTTTGTCGACTTGCTCTGCCCCGCTTTGCTGTCGCCTCGTTCCTTCAGGAACAGATGAGAAAGTAAGCCGGGAAGAAGAAGAGGAGGAAGGAGGGAGGAGGAGCAGCCTTCTTTTGAGCTAGCACGTTAGCCGCCTAGCGGGCTAAAACTGGGGTGGGGGGCGTTAAAACACAGTTCTCCAAAACAAACAAAAAAAAACGTTAATAGGACGCCCGTAGTTGTCTCCGTGCGAAGACTCCCGTGGGTGTCTTCATGGTCGGGAAAACGCTAGCCCCGAACCCGAGCGTGACTTGGTGGGGGGTGAAAACAAAGTGGGATTCGGCGCTCCGTGACCCCGTTCGCTCTCTCCGGCACAGCCCGCTCTCTCTCCGCCGCCTTTGTCTCGCCAGGCGCACGCCGCTCGCTCGCTCCGACGGCACTGACGTCACCCGCGACACAACAATGGGTTCAAAGGCCACATGCGGCGATGGGGAGAAGAGCGTCCACGCAAAGCCAAGGCTGCTGTCATTGCCATTGTGTCAGTCGGTCGACCGGACCGCCATCCCTTTATTTATTCGTTTAAAAACAAGCAAACGTTTTTTTGTGTTTGATCATTCAAAGCCAGCATTCAATTGTATCGTCTGCTATTAAAATCCATCTTAGATGCGCTATTATGCTCTTAACCCTCACGATTTTGAGAATTACATTTACTAGATCTTGTGTCTTACCAACAGTTCATTTTTCCACTACCGGTGCCACTTTGGTTCCACTAATAAGCAGCAAGTAAATGAGTGCTGTGCCAGGAACACTACTAGGCCCAGCGTAAATAGAAAAAGTTACTCGTGAGAATTGTTCTATTAGTGCTTGGAATTTTCCTCTTAGTTAAGACAAAGGATATACGAGATCTTCAGCTCGATAACGGGTACACACTCAGAATGGTGTTATGAGTAGTACTAGTAGTACTCAATTGTTACTAATGAGGCAAAAATGCGCACTACTAGTTAAGTGCTAGATGTTAACTACAGCAGTATATTTTCATCATGTCATTAGTACTACGAGTAGCATGCAGCTGTCAACTAGTGCAGTTCTGCCTCACTAGTAACATGTTATCCTAAGACTCCGCAAATGACCTTCAGCTGCATGTAAAGGATTTTGGAATAAATGGTTCTCCTTGCTTGGACCAAGATCCGAACCCCAAACCCATCAAACAGAATACGCCAATGTCCAAAAGATGCATTTATTTAACAATATTGGATTCATGTACAGTAGTTAAGTATCAGTGTTTCTTACATTGTAGCGCGACATGATATAACATGACCTAAAGTTATTGTAAACCATCAAGAATATTTGAAAGCCACGAAACTATCTGAGCTCTCTCAGCGTAACATTAGAGAGCGCGAGAGTACAGCATGCATGCAGTGAGTCCGCAATCTTCTCTATGCTCCTTTGCATAAATATCACTTAAGTGGCGGTGGGGATATGAAACAAAGACGTGTTGTTCTTCACAAATGGACGCACATTTACAGAGATATTTTACAGTTCACATACACCAGGTTTGTTTGCGCTTGTTTAGCAGCTGTGTGATGAAAACAACACCGAATGGATAGTGTGCAGCACCAAACATATCTGCTGAAAAATCGATGGAGGTAAAAGCTGAAACTTAGAGCACCTTTTCAGTTGACAAAAAAAGAAAAAAAAGTTTCAGTTTTATTTTAGTTGAAGTAGTGACAAAAACTAGGAATAAAAAAAAAAAACCCTCCCAGATAATTGATGACGTCAGTTGAAGTTGTGGTAAACGACGTCAGAAAAAAATCAGTCAGCACTACTGGAATTAACACAGCCATTTTGTGTACCTTGGCTATAACTCCTCCTTTTCCACCCGCTCAGCCCCCTTCTCTTTTTCTTCGCCGCTGTCGTCGTCGTCGTTTTCCACCGTGCCGGGTGCCACGACCACAGCGGCGTCCTCAACATGAGCCAACATATCCGCCATGAGGGCTTCCTCCAGCCTCCTCCTCACACTCTGCACGAGGTCCTCCTGCTTCCTGAAGGTCACAGACGAAAGGGAATTCAACCGCCTTCAATGTGCACCTTTGATTAGTTCACATCATCCTTAGAAACGGCGACAACCGGCATGTCGTTTGCACTTTATTAATACAAGTTAAGACTACTGGGCACGGTGGAAAATCGACTCAATTACTAAAATAATCCTTCGATGCAGCCCCCGTATTTCGACAACCTTTTTTTGTCACTTAATGCTTATTGTACATCGTGTGGACACATTGTGGACTGTTTTCAGTGTTTTTGTTGTTTTTTTTGTTGTGATATTCGTTGGAGACAATCGGCGCGTGACGGTTGCACCTTCATGGAAGCATGTTTATAATAAGTGCATTTTTTGTGAGGAGAATGTCGGCACTATTGGCCTCGATTGTATGGCCACGGGGCACTTGTGCAAAGTAGTTTTAGGTTTTAATGGGCACCCCGCTTCGCTTGAGCAGCAGCTTTTTTATTAACAAAAAATAAAAAATAAATAGTGTGTCACCTGATATCTTCATCTGTCACCACAAACGCCTTGCAGAGAGGCTGCGTGGTGTTGAGCCACACTCCCGGGTTTTTCTCCACAGCCGCCGTGAGCTGGCCAGTGACAGGTGCGGGGCTTGTGTGGAGGGCGCTAGCGATGGCGGACAGCAGCGTTTTGTCAGAACTCGCAGGCCCCACACCTGAGGACGAGCCGAAAGACCAAGATTGTTGAAAAGGCGTCACTTGGAAACCCACAAGCGTTGTTTGTTTTTTTTTTTCCCCCCAAATGCGGTCACCTTGTAGGCCTTTGGGGAGATCCATGGTTTTCACCAGCTCGTCTGCAATGTCAAAGGCACTTAACCCACTCAGCTTCCTTTCCCAGAACAGCTGCGATTCAAACCACAAACTTGTCAAAGCTGACAAAATGACAATGGACAATATTATTCCGTTTACAGTGAACCCACGATGGGCCCTATCATTTGCTTAAAATCCCTTTATTCCTTCCACATGCTTTAAACACATTTGAAAAGTACCAAAAAACTTTGCGGCGTCCCTTTGTGCCCGTCGTATAATATCACAACAAGCCTCTCACTCCAAGGAAAGTGTGCTCGCTTCAAGCTGTTTATCACTTCCTGGTTGAAGTTTTCACGCGAAACTGACCCATAAAACAAAACGGACTAAAACATCCTATGTTGAAACACCAATGTGGAAATCACAATGTCCCTGAATTGGCAAGCTATTAGTAGAACATGCCTGCAGGCTAATTGCGTGGTCCTTGGGGACTACCTGGTGCTCAAGTGGACCATGTTGGTACCCCCCCCCCCCTGCAGTAGACGGTTTCGTAATTGTAAAGCTTGAAACAACTGCAACTTTGCACACACAGGGCAGCAACACATACAAGCAGAGAGTACAACAATACCCCCCCCCCCAAAAAAAAAATCTGCTGGTGGTGAACAACCCCTGTGACTGACTGTGCCGAGTGAATAGCTGTGATCTAGCACACTTCATAGCTAAAAGGAGGTCAAGGTCATCTAATACATTTTTTTTCTTTTTACAGCAACATAAGCATGTGAACATGCCCCTTAAAAAAAAAAAGTAAGAGCTCAAGAGTGTAAAATGGGCAATGTAGATGAGATCAAAGGAAACATTGCAAAGACTGCGGCATCATTATCTTCCCACCATGAAACAAATGATCAAATGCCGTCTGCCTCACCTGCTTTGGTTGGTCCACAGCCCTCTGCGGGTCTGTTTTCACCTTGTTGCTAGGGTGATTTGTTACTTTGGTCACCGGCTGCTTGAAGATGGAGGCCGTCTGTCGAACGGGCAGTGTTGTGTTCAAGTCTGGCTTGGCCTTTTGAAAGCATACATATGACAAAACACCTAAGTACTGATGCTGAAGGATTAAAAAAAAAGTTATGCTCAGATTTACTGCGTGTTTATTGTTAGGACTGTGACCGGTGAGCATAAATGCCATTTCATGATTTTTTTTCCCCCCAAAGTTCATGGAATGAGAGGATCAATTTACAGTGGTACCGTGAATTATCAACTCCCTCTATTGAAATTAATCGAAATTCAATTTAGCCGTTTTAACCCTGCAAAAGGACTTCAAAATAAAGAACAATAGCAGAGTACTGGATAAAAACAGAATGAAACACGAGAATGACAGGAAATAAATTCTTTTTTTAATGAAGTCTAATTACTGTTTGAAATGTACTAGAAAGTGGAATTGGTTTGATTCCTTTCAACTAAGACCTAGCTGAAAGTGCATCAGTGATTTGGGCTCTCCTTGCCCTCCTGCGAGGACATTGACTTATTCCTCAGATTCCTTGAATTCATTTTGTTAGCTGCAGCCTCTGTTGTGAAGTTTGCTAGTGCCATCTAGTGGTCGACTGGCTGAAGCTGACACTCGAGTCAAATTGTTTGCTCGCACTGCAAAGCAGAAATCGTCCCAGCATCAGCTCATAACTCGATAAATTCAAATTGAGCCCGTTGTAAGTCAAGGTGTCGCTGTGTTTCCATTACTGTGAATTAAAATGACGACGGAAAAATTTATGATGAGTTTTGACATCAACGTACTTTAAGGAGGTGTGACGATAACATTGCGCGTACGCCACTGATAGATGAATAAAGTACCACAAACTGGAACAACACAATGGTCAAAGATATATGGGCAACGTCGTCAGGGTGATATATGAGTGTTAACGGTAGGTTTCAATTCAATAAATCTCACCGTCGTAACACGTTTGCCAGCATGAGCTCAGTTGGCTCCGTCTGTGTCGAAACGGCCTAATTTAATTCTTCCCCATTGTAAAACAATAACTGACTGCAGAGGATGGACAACATTGTAGATCACTTTTCATAGGCACGGTAAACCATTTTTTATGATGATGATTATTTTATTTTTTTTACTGGGAGAGCTCACTTGAGTGCCCTTTTGCGAAAAGACTAACTTGAGGATATGTACAAAGTACTAATGTTTTTCTTTCTCTGACACGAGAAAGTAAAGCGTTGGTCAGCCGCTAAAGGTTGCTTTTGTGGTTAAATTTTTTTTGCAGTTACCATAATCATGCAAATTGAAGTGTGAGAGATTCCTTCAGTGAATTACAGCAGCACTCGATTGTAAGAGTTCAAACGAGCGGAATTACTAAATGGAATAACTGATAGAATACTCGATTCTAAAAAATAGGCGAGAGTTGCAGCCCTGGCGTGGACCACTCTGGAAGACACCATTCTGTTCAAGATCATAACATCATTGTTAAAAAAATGGAGGGGGGAAAAAAAGCGAGAAGAGAGTATCAATATGTTTATTCTCACCCTGATTTGATGGTTGATATCATGGTGTTTGTGCCCACTTCGCTGGACTTTAGTAAGAACTAAATGTGCAGCACGAGACTGGCCGGCCTCCTCCATGTGAAAGTTGTTGGCTGGACCCCGTGCTGTCTGTGGATTGCCGAGGACACGCCTGACTGGTACACTGCAGAGGAAAAACACACAAATAAACTTGATTATACCGTTGAAAATGACACAAGAATTTATGACTTCATTGTGTGAGCTGATCATGCTGTTTTGCTTAACACTATCAGAGAGATTTTTCTTTGTGGAATTTTCTGAAAACATTGAAGAAGCATTTCAAATAACGCAAAAATATTCCATAACAAATCATTTCACGAAAAACAATTGATGACTAGCGTACATGACATTTTCTCCTGCCCGAACTGCTCTTGTCAAGAACAATGTCCCATTTGCGCTAATCAAGTCGAACTTTTAAGGAATGTGACGCCGTTTCAAACGTCGTGGTAAGTTTTGTACGTTGACGTGGAGAAGCTCTCGGAATGTACAGCTCGTACAAGTTTATTGACGGATATTTTTACCTGAAACTTGTCATCCAATCAGAGAAGGGGTTCCCTAAGTAGCAGACAAAACAAAAGGGTTGATGACATATGTAGACGTAATGAAGTTGCACTGTTTTACTCTAATTTGACGGTGTTTGTTTTAATTATTTTTATCTGTCAAAGTACTACGCGTGGTTTTTAGATGTTTTATGAGTAAAGTTGGTGATGTTATTACTTTTGACACCTCTGATTCTTTCCAGTTACGGTCGCTATATTGGGTGTCACTTTGCTTAGTTAAGAAGCGCAATGACAGGTGAGTGAAGACGTCAATCAAAATCGTCCACGCCCACACCGTCTTCATCAAGCCGAAGCATTGTAAAAGCAGCTCACGTTGAGCACTGTGACTCGGAGGAGAAAAACAAAACGAAAAAAACATTTTTGCTCGGACGACACAACCACTAAACTGTTCTAGTTTTTTTTTCTCCATAACGTTCATATGCATATATAATCCCAAATTTGTTCTGGTCCACGTCAGAAAACGCACACGCTGATTAAGATACACATAACTCGATAATGGGAGGACGCATACCACACAAAGCTAGCTAGATTCTCCACGATAGTTCTGCGCCGAGCGACAAATACCAAAGCGCTTTCACATATAAAATGAATCTCAACTTGGTGAGTGTTTTGTTCCAAGCAGCCGACGTCGCTCAACTCGAGCGTGTGTAAACAATGAAACTTGGCTAGCTAATCAAGCTAGCGGGAACGGCAAACCACCCCGAGTTCTGTACGACTAAACACTCAGCAGAAGTCACGTTGTTGTGCATAATAAAGCTACTAACAAGGATTTGGTTATCTCCAACGTTGGTATTGGGAGAACAACTCCATTTGTTAAGTTTGCACCTTGCAAGACGCGTGTAGGTACTCATCCGTATTTCCTGCTGAGCAAACTTTCATTGGGGGGGAAAAAAACTCCCTGTAGTGTAAAACCGTTGAACTCCTACCTTTTCCGTTCCATACTCCCAAACGTCCCCGTTCGGCGTGGAGTCGAAGCCGGTTCTTAAAAAGTAGCAAATGTCAACTAGCAACTATGCTATCGCTGTCATGAATTTGCACCGTGAAATTTATTTATCGATCACCATTCCTCAAACAGGACCTTTACAGGCGAAGATCACTCCGCCCACCACGTCACCCCCCTCGATTGAACTGTAATCCATCCGCGGGACTCACTTGAACTAGTGCGGAAGTGACGATAGTGAAAAGTGGTAGGCAGAGGGGACCAAACTCGGGTCTGGGGACTCTTGGGGGTCCACATTAATAAAATGTCGTGACATTGCTAAAAAAAGGTAGTCAAATACTGTTATACATCAGTGGTTTGCGAGGGAGCCGACACACCACGGTTGGTACTCCTACTACACTTTAATAATTACTGTTAAAAACATTTATCAGTGAATGCCACTGTTGCAGGTTAAAAGCACCACTTGTGATGCATCACATACTGTGAGTCTGACATCTCTGCATTGTATATTAGTAAAGGAATTAAATCACATTTTTTTCAGAGAATAAAAGGCTTATTTTTCTAGAATACGTTTGTTTGGAAAAGAAGGCATCCTTTTCATAATAAATGGCATGTTATAGGAATAAAGTTGTATTTTTGAAACACACTCACATGTGTAAGATACGAAAAAATAACTGACACACCTTGCAAAAAGAAAAAAAAAAGTATGGCCAAAACATTACTAACGATATGATGAAGCATCAAAAGATTTAAGATGGAAACATTGCCTAGAGCGGCAATGGCATTTAATCAATTGCATTCAAGATCAATTTGAATTCGATGGACAATAGCAAGTGAACTACTGTACTTCAAATGAACATAACACTTCACATTCATTTTATTAGTTCCTCTTCCCGAACAGTTTGCTTGAAGGGCAGCTCAACATTTGTTGACAATGATGAAAAATAAATAGCTAACCCATAAAGTACATTTGGTGAGAAAAAAAAAAAATCATATTCTTTCCACTCAAGTTTTTCGGGTTGAGGTAGAACCGCTTAACCCCAAATGCATTACAGCCGATGATGATGATGATGATGATCATGACGATGACATTTTGGACCACCAGGATAGGAAGTGCAGGCTGTGATACACTGCATTGTAAAATAGCATCTGCAGCAGTCTTTGTTTAAAATCTCTGTTGAATCCATCAACAAACTGTCAAGAACAACGCCAGGAAAAAAAAACATGTCAAAATACAGAACATAAGGGGGCAGTTCTTCATTATTTTTGGAAGATACACATTCTTACACATTTTCCTTTGGAAGATATCTACAGTGATGATTCCACTATTACAGTCTAACTTTAACTATGTTCCATATTTATTTCATGTTTTTATATATTTTTAAAAAAGTGTGTAGCGCTACTGATGTTGATATTTAATATCTTGCTATCATTAGGAAATTTGTTCCGGGACCACACTTGTAACTCGTAATTGAGGATAGATTCTCATTTGCTGTGCAGACAGCTAATTAAACGCACGGTAGGATAAGAAGTAAAGTACAACAAAATCTAATGAATGTTTGAAAAAAGGAGAATTAAAAATCATTTAACATTTACATCATTTCAAACTAACAATAGATGGATAGATTTCCCTGCTCACCTGATCGCCACTATTCGTCCTTCTTGAATTTGCCGTTGATGTAGGGAACGTAGTCCAAAAAAACTCGCCAATCTGTGAAGTGGACCACAGCTACGCCACCCACTGTGCCCCAAACAGCCAGTGTTGGTATCCTGTGAGGGAAACGTTGAACATATTTACCATGGTATACCTGTCATCAAATACTCTACATAGCCTTCTGTACTACTATAACCCAATTGTGCGCTTCGACATTCTGTTTCCCCAATATTCGTCGCGCCAAGGCGTACGTGGAGAAAACTCTCACAGCACCCCCAGTCCCCGAAAAAAAGGTCACAAAATTGGAAAAATTACAATTAAAAAGCAATAATCGTATCACGTGTTGTAATGTTGTATTTCCAAGCTGTATTAATATTACAACACGATGATAACGAACACATATATAGTCAGGTCATGAAATGTGCCTCAATGTCATTTCGAAATAGCCTCTTTTAAAACGTAAAACGTCAACGACGTTTTGTTTGTGACCTCAGCTAAGCTAAATGCTAACTGACGATTTAAGGTGGTTCTGTCCGTGAAACGCTCAGCATACTATTTTGTTTTTGTTCTCGTGAAAGCAAAGTTTGAAAAACGGAACCTTACCACGACTTAGCCATGGACACATATTTCTGTCCGACCACTTTACTCAACATCGTTCTTGTGTCCTCCTCGCCCTCCGTCACACACTACGTGCAGCAAACAGGGAACTTCCGTTTGCGGTTTGTTCACTTTTTTTTAACCACATATAAAGGCAACCTCTGCCCTCTAGTGGACATATGATATATGACAAGCATAATTTATTTATTAGAAATCAACAAGAGTAGCATAGCATGGCTAATTATGAACGCAGAATAGTAAAGTATTACTTTACAATAAATCATAATGAGCATTTACATCATCACACTTTATGATATAAAAATGTAAAGTACCGGTATGCATACAAGTGCAACCCACTAAATTAGAATATGATCAGGAAAAGCTTAGTTGAACAGATGAACTTCAGAGTGAATCAGAGGCACTTTCAGTGGTGGCAGGTGACTGCTGACTCACATTTAATTGAGTTTGAATGTGATTGGTTAACTCTAAACACAAGCATATACCGACTTGTGAGGGTGTGCACACTTAGGGAACCACATGATCTCAGTTGTGAATTTTTACATCCCCTCAAAAAGATTTAATATTTGTATTTCAATCGTGGCATACAGATTATTGGTTACCGATACCTTATTAGTGGAATAAGTTTTGATGTGATTTACCTTGTTCATTTTTCTATTACAAATGTTGCACTTGTACAGTGGTGTGTCGACTTTTTGTATCCACTGTTTCTATAGATGACCGCAGTTGCATTTTGTAAAGTGTTGTCGAGGTCAGGTTTATCAGACAACGGGACAGTGAGCTCAGATATTAAAAATGGCACATTTATTACTACATTACTGTTATATACACAACAGTTCTCAATATCTACTTTATATATAAAAATAGGAAACTGGAGGCACTTTGAGGACAAAGCCTACATAGATATTGCCCTCAAATATTTATGAAGACAGAAAGAGCTGTAACAAGTCATTTGTTGTGGATGACAGTCTTCTAATAAAGAATATTGTTTTCATACTTGCACACTGTAGAAAAATCATTTACATAAACACAAGTCCTTGTTTTTTTTTTTGCATTATTAGAACAATTCTTTTTTAGATGAAAATAAACTCACGGGTTATTCCATCGGGCATAATCTTCAAATGACACAAAAGTAAACCGAGTATTTTTTTTTCTTCCCCAGCTGATACATCATACAGCTGCACATTTACATGACAATCGAGGACAAGCTCATATTCAAATACAGCAAATCCGTAAATAAAAGGTTTACGTAGGATTCAGTGTCAAAGGTGTCGCATCAATAAATTCTTGTTGATGTTCTTGGACTCCTGCGTCAAAGCAACGTTTCATTCCCATTCAGTATATGTATGTAACAGAAGTATTCAGGCACTGGTGAGTAACCTTCATCAAAACTCCCAAAGTCAAGAAAATGACTAAGGCCACGCTTTATGCATTTGTTTTGATTAATTCGATGATAAAGAAGCTGAACAACGTTGAAAAGTTGATTGTGTTTCCAACGCCAATGAATCATAACGTTACACAAGTAGAGGCTGACAACGTATTGTTTCACTTTCAACTGAACTGGCATAAGCAAAGGAATCCAAATAAAAATGTTGGGTTTTGCACAGAAACAAACAAAAAATATATATGTATATATAATTATCACAACATGTGACAATACAGCCAGAATTTGTCATTTCTAACATTTCCAAGCACCTGGCACAACACAAAAACACCTCACTTTGTTCCCGTAATCTAAAAAAAAAAAAAAAGTCTTCAATTTAAACGATGTAAACAAAAAAAAGAGCATCACAAATGGAAAACAAAACACTAACTCATAACTATTTTACAAAAAAAAATCTACAAAAGGAAGATCGTTACAAAGAGGCTTTGCAGTTGTTCAAAATGGAAAATAAAAAGAAGGGGGAAAAAAACAGAGAAACAAAAGTCAAACCAAGTCAAGCAATGGCAATCGAGTAAATTAATATCAAGAAAGTAATCTTACAACTCACCATCCCTTTTAATACTCAATTATTCTTTTCCACAACACAACCTTCGTGAGATGAGCTTGTCATTGGAAGTTGTCAATGACCCCCACAATAACATGTGACCTGATTGGTCCAATCACAGAGAATCGCCGGACACTTCCACAACTCGCAATTAAATGGTCCCTAAGTGAACCATTTGTCATCTGCCTTACTCTATATTTAAAAAAAAAATTGGTTTGCAAAGAACAAATTCTGGTGTGCTGGATATTTAAGAAAGGACAATATAACAAATGAAAAACATGTCGCAGGTTCAATCTGCTAAAATAACAACAAAAAAAAGTCCTCTTGTGACTGGACCGTCCAGGATGACACCTGGTCTAAGTGACAGCACGTGTGCTGCGCGATGATATCTAGTTGCTCTATTTCTACGGAAGCCCCCCATAGAGAGACTGGCTTATCTCTGGAGATGAGTCTTTCCTCAGTGGTGCTGCTACCTCGGGCAATCGGTCAGTTCCAATTGCAAGGCAGTGACCCGTAGGATCCACAGTTTACGAGGAGGGACAAACGCCACATGTCACCTCAACGGCCAGGGTAAGAAATGTATGAAAGACTATTCAGTCAATCTATCGTAAGATGCATCTAAGACCTCCTTTTATCGGTGGGAATGCCACATATTAGAACAATAATACAAGTCTTGGCTTTGCTTACAGTTGAAATTGATTCAAAAGGACTATTTGATCCGAACACGTTTGTTCCCAATGTGTAAAGTGTTTTTTTTTTTTGTTTTTGTAGAATGTGTTACAAAAACATGATCATAAGAACGTCCCCAGCTCAATGTCCTTGAGTCTAATCCAATATGAATACGCCTCTCTCTCTCCCCAACCCCAAATGTGCTTGTTCTGTTTGTTTGTGGCTGTGGCCCCTTTTGACAGTAATGAGGTGCCGTGTGCCTTCCAAATATCACATGGGGGTGCAATAAGGCCACGTCTTCAAACATCTGCTAGTTAACAGAACCTGGAAGAAAAAATAAATGTGTTAGGTAAATCCGCACAAGCATAACGTAAAAAAAAAAAATAATACAGTGGTAACTGGACTTTGGAGTTTGCAACCAGATACGAAAGTGTTAGGCTGTCTAAAACTGGCGAAATAAATATTGTGGACTTGCATGGCTAACAGTTACTGTTCACAAAGCGGAGACGAGCAGAGAAGTAGCTCCTCAATTTTGGAGATCTAAGTGCTTTTACTGTTGTACAACCTTTTGATTTTATTTTGAAAAACTTTTTTTGGTTTGTTGTGTTTTTTCTATGTACCTATGAAGCACAATCGATGGGGGAAAAAATACTTGCCTAAACATTTTAAAATAATTGATTTTAGACCTGCAATTGCAATACCGTGAACGTGCAATATTTTTGCTGACTGTTATTACAGCGCCAAAATATGAGACCTTGTTGTGGCACTCGCAAGTCAAGGCACCACTGTACTCGGTAACCATGAAAGCAAACCTTGGAATTACATATGGCTTATAGGGTTGTGTCCATCACCTCCGAGACCTCCTCCCATCTGCATCTGGGGGTCCACGCCCGACACTTTCTCCTCCTCTCTTCTCTTGAGGCAGGCGGCCTTGGGGTTGAGATTACGCTCTTTACAAAAGGCACATAAACAACGATTAGGGCGATCTCGATAAATGATGAGTTTGGGACTTGACACGAGTGGAGCAGAGGAGAGGAAAGGCGAAATGCAAGACAGGAAAACGAGAAGACAGGAAAAGTAGAAGTAGTAGGATGAGACGAAAGCAGACATCTATCCTTCCTCATATATTCTCCCTTTCTCCTCCTTACTGGTCCAGTTAATAGAGGCGTGAAAAGAGAAAGTGGGTGTTACACAGAGGCTGAACATGACCTTTAAGAGGAAATGCCCCCCCCCGCCCCGAAGGCTCTCGTAGGAAGAAGCTCGGCTGTCTGTGTGGGCAAGACTAGTCACGTCCGACTGGATTGGCCGACCTACCTCGCACCTGTTTCTCCAGGCCCAGTATGACCTGGACGGCCTGCTGCAAGATGACAAGCTTGGTCTGGGCCTTGTCGCTCTGCAGGTGAACCTGACACATTCTGCCCAGCTCTCTGAAGGCTTCGTTTATGTCACGCACCCGCACCCGCTCCCTAGCGTTGTTAGCTAGGCGCCGCTCGCGCTCCCTCTGCTCCTTCTCTTCGGCCGTCAGGTTCTCATCGGCAACTGTGACAACGCTGCAGCCGGGAGGAGAGCGGTTGGCGGGGCTGGTTAATAAAGCCAAATCACAACCTTGCTCAGCCTACGCTCACGTTTATATTATTAAAGATGCAGTAACAGTTTGTTCCTGGGGGGATCATTATTGGTTTGTCTGTCTAAATGCTCAAAGCTCCTCCCTGCAGGTGAGATGAAGAAACATCGCAGTGGAGTGGGCCGGGCCAGAGAGCAGCAGGCGGATGTGTTTTTCTTCTTGTATGTTTTTTGAGGCCATGTCCTTATCAACACCGTATTCCATGATCAAATTAAATCGTGAAGGGTCACTGAGGTCCAGGATGGAAGTTGAGGGGATCTTACAACTTTTCTAGCAGAGAAGATATGAGGAGCGTGTGAGAGGTAAAAGCTCTCTGCCGACTACAGCGCATCAAAGAAGAGAGAGTGGAGGCATCGTGATAAATACATCACAAGTCAATGTATTTATCGGAAAGAAGCGAAGAATAGGTCACGGTTGCCGTCTGTAAAAAATAAGCTGGAAGAGGACTGAGGCGTGGATGGAGAAAGTAAAGTCAAAACACAAAGAAGCATAATGAGCATGGTTACGTTGCGGGGACATGCGACACTTCACGGTCGAGGCAGGTTAATAATACACATGACAACACACAAGGCGTGTCCAGCTTGTGTGCTTTCTACACTTAACGGTACACCAAAAGCCACTATGCCAGTTGCAAAAAGCCAAAGTAACAAATGTGTTAATTTTCTGGTCAGGCGAGAGAGGCGCATAGACATGGAAAAATGTAGAAAGGATATATACTAAACAAAGCGCAAATGGCAACACACGCACGCACACACTCACACACATATCCAGCATGTGCTACCACAAGAGAACCAGAACGGGGTTGTTTGTAAAACAATCACATGGCTTTCATGTCCTTATTCCCTGTCCTCACTTTGGAGGTGACTTCAAGGATGGACGGCAATGTGTGGAGTGCTTCAATGTTCACTGATGTCACTTATATCATGAATGAACCACATAATTGAACCACGATTATAACTAAATGGGTCAGGCAGGAGCATGAAGCCATGTGAGAGTTTAGCGCGTCAAGAAGACCTTCCCCTCCTCCTCTTCCTCCTTCCTCCCTCCCTGGACACCCACTGACCTCGGACTTGCTGCTCCAGGTTGAGTATAACGTTAACGGCCTGTTGGAGCACGTTCAATTTAGTCTGCGGTTTCTCATAGTTCAGATGGAGCTGACACATGCGGCCCAGCTCTTTAAAGGCCTCATTGATGTCCCGCACGCGGAGCCGCTCGCGGGCATTGTTTGCCATCCTCCGCACTTTCTCCCGCCCAGCTTTAATCTCCACTGGTAGATCTTCATCGTCATCCTCATCAATCAGACTAGCCAATGGCAGATGAGGAGGGAAGGAAACAACATTGTGGGCACACTTCAGGTAAGCATCAACTTTCTAGGCTAAAGGTAGCTTTCTGACAAACATAATTCCAAAACGTGTCAGATATGGAACATTATATTAAGAAGTACGAGTCTACTGATTTGAATGTACTCACAAATGATCTGTATATTGCAAATCATTTATCAAAATTAAACATAAAAGTTCACAGAACATTTAACAATTTACTTCTGTCCTCTTAAGCAGTGAATCCCAATTATTGTGCCTTAAGAGGTCATCAGGTGTGCTGTAGGAAATGATCCAATTCGACTGAACTGTTTTGGTTACAACATATAACATATCGTTGTTTAATTATATATGCTCGCTATCGACGGTACGGTGAGAGGTAGGGAAGGGTACTCAAGTCAGTACTTGTTACTTGGTATAGACCGATTTGGTTTGGTATTAGCGAGCACCAATTCACGTGAAATCAGTACCATTTTTCATTTTGGAAGTGCATCGTTCCGTCCCAATTTAAATATGTATCTTGGCTCAAGAAACGTTGGGAAACACTGCTTCTAAAATGTACAATGTCTTGTTTCATACGAAATACAACAAAAGCTGATTCACTATTAATAGAAGGATATTTCCTGACTATAGCAAGATACCTGACAATGAAACCTGTATTGATGTGTGACAGTAAAAGTCATACAATTAAAAAAAAAAAAAAAACGCACCTTGTTTGAAGAGCATTTAGCTCTTTGTTCTCATCCTCTGACTTGTCAGTCACAGAGCAGTTTTCATCCTCCTCCTTGGTCTCTCGTTTAATGTCACTGGAACGATTAAGGTTGCTCACCAGACCTGCAAACAAAAAACAAGGGAAGAAAGGTATAAGTCAATGGCTCTCTGTGACCGGAAGGAGAAAAGTCACAAAGACTCACTGGTGAAACCTTCAGGTTGAGAGCCTTGCAGGGCAGATGAGGAGCTGTGGTGCCCAAGTCCTCCACTAGAGGGCAGTCCAGCAGAGTCTTCATGGTGGTTGGAGACCTGCAAGACACAATGTTGACCATGTGTCAAGAGCACGCGTTTTTTTGCAGGCTCCATTTATGAATCTCACCATTCCGGGCAGGCGACTGGTGAGGCCATGTGCTGCACTGCTAAAAGCTGAGGATAAGCCCAAGCCGGATGCCAGCAGACTCTGCATCTCAGCCAGTCCTGGTCCTCCTTGTCCACTGGCATGTCGCTGAAGAACATGAATAGCTTCGTCCAGGCGATCCTCCAGTTTATTAGACTGCAGAGATGGGGGACAACAAACATGAGAGGAGATGATGACAAAGTACGATGTGACATGATCCACATGTATGGCTGAAAAAAAAAAAAAAAATTGAGCTGTAGGTCACAATCCTTTTCAAGGCCTCACCATGCCCTGAATTCCACCATGAAAGTTAGGTGAAGGTGTAGCCTGTCCAGATGACCTGGTCCACTGAGAGGCGCATCCTGTATAGGAATCAAAATGGTTTATTCATGTAAAAAATAGTCTTGTTATTCTCCATTCAAGTAGATCAACTGTGACGTTTCGGTAGCGAAGTCCTTTATGAACTTTTTGCTATAAATGATAGAAAGGCAAAGTAAACAACATCTACGTATGTCATTCAGTTCAAGTGTTCACTTTCTCCTGACATTCTACTCTTTCAACTCGTGCCATTCACAGTATTTGGTGTGTGATGATGTCACTTCTGGACCAATTGGAAAGACAAATAGGGAAGTGATCCCTCCCGCTTCTTATTTTTACTGTACTTTCCCTTCCTCTCTTATAAGTTATATTTGGATGGTGAGCGTGTCTGACAGATCATTTGAAGGTTACGTTCTTATGTTGTGTTGCATTTGGCCAGAAGAGTATCACCGCCCGCACTATTGAAAATTCCGATAAATTACATTTGGTATGGAACATCCAACTATCACGAGGCTAACAAATCTTCTGATGAATGCAGCCATTCTGTAAAGTAGTTTATAGTTAAATCGGAAAATGATTACTGACCTGAAGTGGCCTGAGGAGAGCCGGAGGGGGTTGACGGGGACGAAGAATAGCCGTTACTGTTTGGGTCTGAAGGATAGATCTAGGACAGACACAAACATTTCGAGTTTCAGTATGATAAAATGCAACCACAGATGACCAAAGATGATTAACTCATTCACTGCTGTGGACATTTATATTCGTCAAATGGAATCCAACCAAGTATATTTTTCAACGGGAAGGGGTGGAAGAGGGTCTCGCCCATCTTATCTGTGAAATTCAGGTTTGGAAACTACCAGTCACAAACATATCCTTGTAAATGGCGATATTGCCTCATTTGGGATTTGAGATTACTAGAGTCTCAGTTGTATATTTGTAAATGTATTCTTATTTTGCTATCAAAATCCCTTTCTCAGTCTTGTTTTATAGTATGAATTGTGACAAAAGCTAAATATATTAGCACAAAAGACCTGTTTTGTGTGACGAAAGTTTGTTTTCTGTCCTTTTTGGTCAGAAACCAACGTTTTTGGTGAAACCAAATGATGTTCAACTGATGATTGTTGAAGAATGGAAAAAGCTAGAAACATTTCTGTGCCCACTCTTTTTTTAATGGTAGGTTCAGTGCTTATATTGTCACAACAGAAATTTCTGAGTCTTGAAAACCAGTCAAAATGTACAACATTTGGTAATATGGGGAACTTTGAAAATGGCTGTCAGTGAATGAGTTAAAGTTATGAGGCATGATTATAGTTGGCGGCGTGAGAAAACCTTAACATGGATTTGCGTCTTTGCAGAACTTACAGAAGCCAGCGCTTTCCCAATCTCATCGCCAGAACTTCCAGGTACTGCTCCCCGATTGGCTTGACAGGAGGGCAAATATTTTTTTGTGATTAAAATGTGCTCTGAGTGCCAGGTCTGCGATATGATGCTGTCATAAGGACAAGCTTTGCTTTAAGAGTTTACACATAATAGTATAAGTACCAGCAATAGGGGGTGTTTGACTGGGAACGCCGTAGCTGTTTGAGCCAGAGTGGAAGCCGGCCGGATGGTTCCCGTTCACTTCGCTGCCATGTTGGGGGTAGTTTTGGGGCGAGAGGGGCAGCGGTTGCCGTTTCTGGGGTGCAAAAGAGACCAAAGGATTTCAACAGATCAAAGCAGACAAATGTGGCCCCTGTTCATCCCCCCGCCCCCCAAAAAAGCATCAAAAATAGAAATCAACAAGTCCAAATAGTAACTGGGAATGCTCACCAGTCTGTCTTGGGGGTTGATGGCAGTGAAGGGACCATGCTGGCTCAGATGGGTGGAGTTACCCAGCATGGACGGATAACCAGGTTGAACCATCGACCCAGCAGAACCCCATGGATCGGAAGGCGGGTGGAGGCCTTCTGTCAGGGGGCATGAAGAGACAGAGGAGGGAGCCGCGGAGGGGGGTGGAGGAACAAGAGGGGTGAGGGATAACCAGCCACAGGAGATGAAAAGACAATAAAAGGCACATATGAGACATGTCACATTAGTTTGATGACTTCATCCAACCATGATGCACCAGTGCACATGTCAAAGCACCTTGAGTCACACCATTAGGATGAAATGGGAAGCTACTTTCAAAAAAGACAGGATATCTTTAAGTCGGTAAGCAATCATTTGGGCCATGCACACTTTTTTTTTTGTTACTTCAACACAATACACAAACTGAGGTTGTTGTGCCGACGTTTGATTGAACTAACCTTGCATGTAGAATGTTGGTGTGTAGATGCTTCCTGCTTTTGAAGCAGTGTAGCCAACATTGTCCCTGTTAAAATCCTCGCCTGAGGCACACACCTAAAAACAAACAAACACAAAAAAAACAGTAAAGGAAAACTCCAAACCATTACATCAGATAATGATGAAAGTCTTCTATACCGCATGGAGGTGGATGGGTTAGATGTTTTGTTTTCAAACACACCCATGACCTCACTGTTTGATTTCACTACTTGATTACAATGCCTTCTACTGGCTCTCACGCATTAAGGGTTTCCTAGGTATCAGGCCATCCAACAGAAACAGTCTGAGAATGCTTTGAATCCTTAGCACGTAAGGTAAAGACCACAGGACAGGAGCTGCAGTTGGAAGTTTCACCGATCCGCGAGAACCAAGTTAGCAACAGCTTTCTTAATCCAAATGACTGTTGATGCAAGTCAAACTCAACTGCAACCGCAAAGGACTTTTCTTCTGTAATTTGATTAAGCAGAGAGAAACAGGAGAGGAAAAGGAGGCTAGTGGAGAAGAGGGAAGGAGAGATGCACTCCTAATTACTGAACCATCTGTCGAATCCTGGATAGCGGCCAACTCCACTGGCAGCTGGGATGGAGGGATGGGGGAGGGGGAGAGAAAAGGGGGAGAGCTGTTGTTCGCGGAGGCGAGTGGGTGAGTGGGAGGGGCTGCGGGGTTTGAGGCGATGGTGGGGTGGTGAGGAAGAAACGGAGAAGGGGAGGAAATCGGGCGATCACAGAGCCAGGCTGGGAGGGGAAAAATGAGCATGAATTTCCCTGAGTGATCTACACAAACGCGCTTGGCAGAGGGGAGGAAATGTGGTCACAAAGTAGAAGGGCCCAAAAGTATGACACACTATAAATACACTACAAATGAGCGACTGGCTCAATGAGTGGCTTTTTCCCCCCCGCTTTTCCTTCTTTAAATGAGCGGTGCAGAGACACAGCTGTGCAAGCTGAATATACTACATTGCTGCAGTTGGACAGTTTTGCAAGCCACAAAGAGGCCAGAGATGCCAAATGGCACATGAAAAGGGACAGGATCTGAGAAAACGGACTCCCGTGGACTGAGTGAGATGCAACGCTGAATGTTAGCACTTACCGACGAGGGCAGGCCGGGGGGCACCTTCCGGATCTTTTTTGGCTGGGCTTCTGACAGGAAGGAGAAAAACAAAGAGGCAAATATAGGGTCAAACAGCACAAGCTTTCAGTCGTGGAAAACATTGACTATACAGTCACGCAATCTGTATGTGCTTTCATTTGCGCAGGCCTTACTTTATATGCAAATCCCTCCGACATCTGACAACTGATTGAGGAGGAAGCGGTTTCTCGATATAAATCGGCATGTCAAATCTTTTGACTCATTACTACACAAAATTGTACACCGAGGCAAGTTTGCTGTTAGTTAGATATATCACTGTCGTCTTCGTCACTTGATGCAATTTTGTGTGGTCGTGCATGCATGAACACTAGCTTTTGAATACTTACTATATATTCAAGAGAAAACTTGAAGCAATGCTTTTGCGAGTCTATCTGAGCTTATCTTTGTTCTTTGTTTATCAATATCATGATGCGACTGGTAAAATGTGAACATCTTTATCACTGTCATTGTGATCTTGTTTCATCTCTTCAACTGATTGCCACCTAATTAAAATATATTCTTATCTGATGCGAATAATCAGCCACGGCACCTGCAGTGTTTTTGCTTCACTTGAGGAAACAGAAGTGAGAATTTCCTGGTACTTTAAAAACATCAAGAGGAGAAGTGATTACAGACAGGCACTTCAACTGAGATTAGAATACCGAAATTCATACGGATTGAATGAAAATTGTTATCTAACTGAAATGAAATACAAAGCATTGGTCTTTTCAAATCTTACCAATGGGGTCATGCGTGGGTCGTCGACGAGAGTTGTTGCCCTCGTAGGAGGAATAAAACTGGGAGGTGGGCTTCAAGCCAGAGGGGGACAGCGCATCGGGACTGGGCATGGCTATCTCACTGGGCAAAAAGCCCGGCTACGACGGATGACACAAGAAAAGAAAGGTTCATGTGCAACACATTACCAAATGGCGGAAGACTTTTGAAAAGTACAAAGAGGGTTTTGTCTGGCTAAAACGATTTACCTGCGTTGCAAATGTCGAGTAAGGGCCCCTCTCAGCCTTCCCTGTTGCAAAGAACACCAAATGAAATTCAGCCATGATGAGGAAAATGAAGCATTGACGTCAACATTAAATCCTAGTCTGGTCACTGCCCTGTCTGTGTCGGAGCGCCTCGCATCTGCCGAGGTGATTGTGTATGATGTGCAGTATTTATGACCGAGAAGAGCAAAACAACAACAAATTGAGCCATTATAAATGGTTCAGGGGCAATTGTGCCCGTCTCCCCTCCTCTCCCCTGACAGTTAAACAGAGGAGAGCTATAGGCCAATGTAATCCCACGGGAGAGCCTTGTTTGTGCATGGGTGCCCTTTATAACCCCGACACCCCATCCGACCCCGCATACACGCCCACCTCAATATTGAACACACAGAATTGGAACACAGTGCTCCACCACATCCTCCCCGATTATCTGCTGCCTATATCCATCACCACCTGAGCATGAACACGGTTTGCCCTTAAGTGCTGCACGTATGTGAATGGCAGACAAACATGGGATGAATCCATAAATATGTACGTTGCGGTGGCTGTGTCTAATGTGAGGTGAAAATACCCTTTTTTTTATGTGGGGATCGGGGGGTAAAGACAGCTGGTGCGTAGGTCTTCTTCAGCAGCTAAACTCAATTCAAAAAACACTTACCAGCAATGCCCGTTCCATACACTGTGCCAGGTGCAATGCCAGCTTGCTCACTGTAAACGCCATCTTCGCCAAAACACTGTGAAAGAAGATGGCACAAACGTGATGGATTTTAAAAAATGTTTTGTTTTTATTAAATACAAGTATCCCAGGGGGTCACCTTTTGACATGTATGTACAGTATAATCTAGTCCAGATAGAATTTAAACCAATAAATACATCACAGAACACGTGTGGATGTCTTTTTCTGTCTGCCATTTTTCCACATCACCACATGAACCTAATAATGGATTCATTGTTTAGAGACCTAAAATTGTCCAAATCCTCAGAATTTCAGCCCCTCGACAGTAAATATTGTCAAATTTATTTTGTCCTCCACATGATTGCCATTGTGTTAAATCAAAAGACTACATTTAAAAACGTCCACTTTTACTTTGGAAAACAATGATTTCAGCCTATTTTGTGACAAGTTAACTGAGTCACACACACAAAAAAAAAGGGAAAAAATATGTTTTTGAATAGAGGGATGAAAACTAAAGCATGTTTTTTTTTCTCCCAAAATCCAATTCATCACAGAATCAACAAAATAAGAAACATTATTGGCAATTATGCATAAAAATCACTCTTAGTTGCAAACTGAGCACTTTTCATCATAAAAGTGCTGTTAATCTCATAACCAATAATTGTTTTGGAGAAATAAGTAATTGGTGCCAGTGTTAATGTGATGGCATGCATTTACGGTCAAGTATCTCACAAAATGACAGATGAGCAATTCGTCATCAAAAGCCCGAAATATGTGCGTGCTCCAAATTGGAAATCACGCCCTGCAATGTAATTGCAGCCTCCAGGATCAACTCAGTAAGTTAAATTTGCTCGTACCCTCCCCTGGTTGAACGATGGGCTGCTCTGCTCTGCGGAGCCCCAAGGACTGGATCCATTCCTCTCATCAACACCTGGAATATAGAGGAGTACCCGTAGGTTAGGGATCAACAACTACAGAACAAGCACAACAACTGTGAAAGGCATCGTGTCCTGCTATATATCAGTCCATGTTCAGAGGGCGATGAAGTTGATCTGCTTTGAAAGAAATTACTAAAGCTCCTGAAACCTTTGCTGGGAAGCTCTATAACACAGTAAGCGTGGAGAAGGTGTTGTCACATGGATGAGAGCTGTAGGAAATCTGAATAATTAACAGCCAATATTAGAGTCCCAGAACGATTCTCTCTATTCTTCACCGATCCATTCCGAGTCTTTACGTTTTCCGGGCAACAACCATTAAAAGGTCTAAATCTTATATAACGACACGTGCTATGTCAGAACGGAACATGCCGGCACTCTAAGAGATGAATGTGTTAGAAACAACTGATTTTAAGGCTTGGTTCCGGCCTGTCCTATTTCCTTCAATCGCTTCTTGAACTACAACATAGAATCTCTAGGGGGAAAGCTCAAGCTTAATTGCGGACTGATTTGCATAATTGTGCATATTAATGAAGCCTAACTCGATGAATATTCATCTTTTGGTTTTGTTGTCTAATTAAAAAGCGGAGTGGGATGATGCAGGGGGGTGTGGAGGCGGTCTCGAATCATGACAGGATCAGCAGTATAAGAGAATGATGAGTCCACAGTGCAGAGGGTGCCGTGACAACAGTGATCTACGCGCACACACGCACACGAGCCGCGTTAGGGCAGCGAGCGAGCGGCTTTGAGCAGAGAATTAGTCTTACAATGAAGTATCGAGAGATAAAACAAGACAACAGCTCCATAGCACATGCTGGAAACACGGAACTGCCTCCCTCACGCAGTCTTGGGGACGGGGTAGCTCCTTGACCAGCGTGTCTTGCAACGTTGCCTCACTTCCCTTTGCAGTCGTTATGGACATTTATTCATGCATACCATGGAGACGCGAAAGAGGGGTCCATGGAACGACGAAATTGAAGAAAAGCTGGTGAACATATGGGAGCAACACTCCCGCACTTTTGATGCCGGGAGTGACAATTTCCCTGGCTGCATAATGTCAGCGTGTATAACTATCGATCTAACGAACAAGACAACATTATTTTGCCTGCCGGTTTTAAAAACGTGAACGTTACCTGAAGCTCTCCTTGTAGAATGGACAGTCTGACACCACACTTTTTAAAAAAAAAATTCAACCAGAAACCCTGCCACAAACACTTGCATTCGAATGCTTTAGTTGTATTGTATTTGAGCACAATTGTAATGACTCTTTTGTTTTGTTTATTGTGAGTGCTGACGTGCTGTCATGATAAGTTCTTACTCTAAAAAAAGTGTTATAATTTGAGGCAAATATATGCCAATTAATATTCGATTCAAATAAAACATTTTCATCATAACTGCAGGAAGTAATGGGATTTTCACGTATTAGTACTCGGCATTCAAAACCACCCAAATGCAATACTTGACCTGAAAAAAAAAAAGCAGTATCGGTGAATCCCTTGCATACCGATCAATGTTCTTACAAAGTGAAAAAACCCGCAATTAAGTGCAGACTATCAAAAAGGCGACAAACAATATTGGATAAAAGAATGACTAACATCAGAGCTTGTTTTTTTTTTTTTTTGTTGTTGTTGTTTTTACCCTAATGCACAACCTCTCCCAGCATGCAACGTCCCTTCAGGCATGGCTAGTCTATAATTACACAGGAAGAGATACTGGAAACAGCCAGCCAGCCTGACTCACTGGCCTCAGGAACACAACTCTGCCATACATTGAGCAGACTTGCAGACACGTTGTAGTCTTAGCAGGAACATTGCCACAAGCGCTCGCCATTCACTGTGTCTATACACCTCCTTCCTTCCCGCTTCCAAGTGAGTCACACAGACACAAAGCATGAAGTCATATCCATGTCAAACCTCAAGAGACTTAAGTCTGTTAATGAAATACCGACCAATGTTCAGTAACGCACGCCGGCTCGTTCTAACCTGTGAGTCACCAGAGACTTCTAAAAGAGCGCAGGGGGGGGTTGGGGCCCACGTACTGGTTTCTACTGCATCTTGGTTACGCTTTATTGTCAAACGTTACACATTTGAAATTTATACTTATTCTAAATGGGATACGCAGAATTCAACTTAAACTCATAGAACACTTAACACTCCTGCATTTCAGTCTCATAAAGTGTCTAAAAATATATTCCAATTTTCTTGGTTTCCAGAGACCAAAAATGAGCGTGTACTGGAATCACTTTCGCTCGGTGGTGAATTAAGCCCAGAGAAGACAAGAAATTCTCATACCGGTTGGGGATTCCTAACTGAAGTCACAGCCACAGAAATTGAACCTCCACACACCCTAAACCTCAACATGGCCATATGTGAGATAGAGTGAAAGACTGTTTGCAGTTATACTTTTGACATCACACATGACTGCTGAATATCATTCTTAAAGGACTCCTGGACAGTAATTCCGTGCACAAGTACTGCTTGTTTGTCAAAGCATATCGTGCCTCTAGAAGTAGCAAACATTTGCAGAGTTACAATCTCAACGATCCACGGACAAGCGCAATGTACTGGAAATGTAATGCATTCATATTTTCAATAACCTAAAATGACAAACGCTAATAATGCTAATAAAATTAAAAACGCACAGCAAAAAGAATCAGGCACATTGTAAGACATGCTTCCTTTTTTAAAAAAAAATAAAAATAAAAATAGAACAGCAAAATAAGACAAGCTAAATATGATAAAGGGATACGGGAGATGCTTATTCAGAGTTTGAATGTATGCAAAGATGAAATGCAGCAAAGCTGTGGCTTCAGCAGAATGAAAATGAAACGGGATTGAATTTCAGATGACAATCATCGTAGAGGCCCAGCAAAATCAGATGAAAATGCACACAATGTTATTTCCCCAAACTTGAAACATTCTGTCACCCAAAACAAAGCTGTCCAGCAAACAAATGGCCACCATGTTACTGCTTCCCGTAAACATGTTAGAAAATCCGTAAAAAGTAGGCAGCAAGACATCAGAAGAGGGCATGTTTTTCCCAGAGTCAGCAGAGGTGATTAACGGGCCTGTTCCCATGCATCAACCCCCACCGCCTCTGTTTTTGTGGCTTTCTTGATTGAATGGCAACAGCTGACAAGGTGATGGAAAGGACAAACGCAAGATTTGGTGGAGGAAATGACACGGGATCTACATAATGTAAAATAATGTGGCATTATAGTTGGGCTTCGATCAAATAAGACACAATTTAGAAAGCCATCCACATGAGATAAAGAACAGGAACTGTGTGGTTTTTTTGTTTTTTTAACTTTTGGTTACATAAACCTCACTCGACAGTGGGGGTAGATGGTGGCAGCAAGGACAGATAATTTAATATGTTACAAGTCCAGAAATTACATTTACACTCAAGCAAGGCAAAAATGTCATTTCACTCGATTGACCTTTATGTGTTTTATTCCAAAATAACAATCAAGCAAACAAAGTTGTTTTTTTTTGTTTGTTTTTTGATTGTTACTGAAGGCATTGGCAATGTGCAAACTAAAATATGAAGTCAATTTCGGACTTACCTGAACCACCAAACTGACTGCTGGCCAGTCTGACTGTTGGTCTATTCTTGCCATTCGTAACCGGAAGTTCAAACATCTGAAATGGCAAAAAAAATTACACCATTCAAAATAAATAGAAAACTTACGCTGTCAAATGTAAAAATCAAACCATTTAACCAACACACACAATGACGTAAACTCAGCAATGCTTCAAATCTGACCAAACCAAAGTGACCAATCCCTCAACACCTGGCAACTGTTCACAATGAAAGGAGACAAAGTCTTACCGCAGTAAAATCCAGCAAGTCGCTGAGCTCCTTGTCTGTCCCCACTGTCGTCATCCTCTGTTGCAGTTCGCTTGCCCTTTCAGTCTCAGCAAGCCACTGCAGTCAGAGGGTCAGGAAAATATGAAGGAAATGATCAGAAATGCTCTCGTTAGGGCTGGGCAATATTTCACTAACAGTGCATGGATGTTAACATTGCAGATTACACTACATTACAATGAACACAACACCAATGTACAATCCTTGATTTTTTTTTTTAACCACGAGATATTTTCAGTGGTATTTTTCCTCTTGATATAGTGTTTTAATTTTTATATTTAACAAACTTAATTTCATCTTTAATCAATGTAATTGTTGTTCTTATTTTAAAAAGGCAAAAAAAAAATTAATTATTATTGATAGACAGATCTGAAACAAATACGTTGTGTTTCACCCAGGCCCCAACGCACATTGTGTTGAAAAAGGCTTTTATTCAATCTTTTAATTGACCAGTTAATTTGACTTTTTCATAGTTGTGTTGACCTCTTACTAAAGGTTAAATATTCTATATAAAGCGACCTAAATTCAGCCTTCTCTCTCCACACACACACACACACACACACACACACACACACACACACACACACACACACACACATATATCAAATATCAAAAAGGAAAAAATACATAATTTCACGAAGTCCTGATTGAGATATGCTGTCGTAACCTCCCTCAACAATTTGGATGCAGTGGAATACAAGAGCTGGTTTGATTAATAACATTTCCATAACATTACAAAATTGACAATGTGTACAATCGGACCAGAATGTCAAAATTATTCTTTTACACCCAAGCACTCCAAATACACAGTCGACAAATTAATTCATGATTTTTTTTTTTTGTCATGGATCTTTAAGCAGGCTCGATGTTATCTTTCCAATCAGAGCATATTCCAGTATGTCATAAGAAATAATTATTATTCAAGGAGCACACCCTTGCCTCCCAGCATCAGATTATTGATCCAAAAGGGGATAAATCTAGCTGAAGTGTAGCGGGACTTGTATTGTTTTGTATTTCATCGAACATATGGGCAAATTTTCTTCAAGCAACCCGGTCAAGTTTATCTTTGCATCTCACTTATTAGTGTATCCCTGCGTTATTATCATATTTTGATCCACCTCCTACACAATTTTTTTTGCGTTATATCAAGATAAAATATGACATTTTATCAAGTTGTGCCTGTGAAAGCTACGAAGGATGATACATTACACACGAGCAGGTATTTAGTGCGATAAGGGTGTTATGAGCATCTGCTGCATCAATCATAGCAAAATAAATAAATACTCCAAAACAATGAATATCACAGGGTGCTCGGGCTTATCACTGCTGGGTCACAGAGGCTTATTCAAGTGTACTATCGCACCATAAAATGAAGTGCATGTTAACTGCACAAAAGCAGGAAATCAGTAATAAAACATTGGTTTGTTTCGTATTTGACCAGTGGTTTTACTTACTTGCAAGCAGTGACCATGATGAAAGCTACATCACTACAGCACAAATGAGCTTTCAGTCTCAAACAATGTAGACTACAAAGGAAGAAGGGCTACGGTGACAATGTGTGCCCTTTATTTACTTTGGACAAAAATAAAACAACCCAAGACTAAAGACAAAATATTGTAACAAAAAGACAGAATTTCACCAAAATAAAACCAGAATTAACTAGGATTAAACGTATGCCTGCGTTAGCATGAGAACAGTTGAGTTATTCACTGTCAGCCCACACAGTTTTTAATGATCTTGTCAAGTTTGACTTTAGTACAGTGGCGCCTTCACATACTTATTTTCGTGACATACTGTATGTGCTCGTAACTCAAAATGATTTTATCTCAAATCGTCTTTCCCCATTGTAATGAACTGAAATGTCATTAATCTGTTCCGGACCATGTACGCCTTTCGGTGTGTGTGTTTTGGCAAATGAAGAAGCGTTTCACAACTAAGTGACTCAGCAAGCTGCAGTAATAGCAGTGTTTCACAGAGGATAAAGAATATATGCCTCTGAGTATTGTTATATTCCCTCTCGACATCGGCTGGCCGGTGAAAAATGAACCACGATGTAGTGTGGGTTTGTTATAGTGGTTTGTTTTAATTACAAAAGCTGTCATTCTGTTTGTTTTATGTTTAGTTTGACATTAAACTTCAACTGGGAATGGTAACAAACAGTGTATAAGCCCCTTGTGAATGAGTGGAGTTCGCCGCCACCAACCTACTGCTCCTGTCTCAAATTTTTGCTCGCAAGTCAAGTTACGACTGTGTAAGTTTAAAAAAAAAAAACAATGAAACAAACATTGTTTCGGCACATGAACAGTAATATGATTGTGTAAATGTGTGTGCCTTTCACTGAGAACAAAAAATACATTCACTGAAATCGCCTCTTTGGTATTAAGTTTGTATTTTGGTTGTTACAATTGTGTTACAATTAAGTGAGCCCTGTGCCATGTTCAAAAAGAGTTTGAATTTCTCAACAAGATTCTGTTTCAAATGAAACATATTTTCACCAATATTTTAAAACACAATGTAATGACAACCTCAAGTATTGGCACTAGGTATCAGCAAGCACTTGTATGTAATAACTTGTACTATGCGTAAACTGGTCTTGGTGCATCTCTAGTATTTGTACAACTAGTGCGATCTTGAGGAAAAATAATATTGACAGTAAGAAACGATGACATACGGTCAAATTATGAAATAGTCAGTATGTACAGTTTATTAAAAAGGTTATGCATTGATGGCATGCATGAAGTTGCACAGTGAAGTCGAACTGGATCAATGATTTCAACTTTAAGAAGCATGAGAATGGATAATAGTGTAGACAGTATATTTGGTGATTGTTAATATAAATAACATTGATTGCAATCATATTCAGAGTGAGCATTCGAGGGTCTTTTGTGTTCTGGAGGTCAAAATGGGGGAGTTCTCTCCTAACAAATGGAAGTTGTTAACGCTTGAGCACCCCCCACACCAGCCTGGCCACAAGTGAGACAAGTTGGCAAGAAACAAGTGTAACCCCCTAATTGACACAAGCGGCTAGTGTGTTGGCTGTAATAGCACAGCGTGTGTTTACATGGGACGCGTATTCCGCGGACATCCCCAAACATTGGAGAAAAGAAAAGAAGCCCAAACCTGTTGCCTTGCTGGTCCCACTTCGCTCTGCGAGGGGACTCGACACAAAGAGCCGGTCAGCAAAGTTTCAACAGAGAATTTCGAAACGTGGCAAACCCACAATAATATTCAAGTTTGAAACACACACGCGAAACTGTATTCTATTTTGAAGAAGGATGTAGAAGTATTGTTTAGAGGGACGATTTTACTGATTTTAATCGACATACTAGCAGACATCAATATACGAGGGGGTGGGGGGGTGGCTAACTCGCTATGCTAATACGCTGTAACATTGAGGGTACTATAGTGAAACAAAGACGACATTTCTTATCGTGTAAGGCAAACAACGTCGTGGTAAAAATACGAAAATCTCACTTACCAGGAAAAACAGACCTTCTGTTTTCCCTGTGAAAATACAACTTGGGGGGGAAATGCGCTTAAAACTTGACTTATTCTTCCCATAACACCGTGACAGACAAGTACTGTTGAAGCCCCGCTGACGTGTAATGCGAATGTAGTTTAGAAGGCATATTTACCGTGGCTCAGTTTTGCAGCATCCAACAAAGAGAAATCAACGACCGGAGACGAGAAAAAAAAAACAAAGTTATGGACTGGATCCTTTGCCCCCTCCGAGCTCCTGCGGAGAGTGGGCTTGAGGGAGATGAGGAAAGCCAAGATTGAAGCAGTCCGCCACCGCACTGCTGTCTTCGTCACGAAAATGAAAAGCCGTCTCTGACGCGAACCATAACTCAGCAATGACTCTGTTTCTTTTAATATGACTGAAATTGTAGCGACTTCATTTTTCAAGTAGACATTTTAGCAGCCTCCACATTGTCGCTTCCAAAGATGTATCCCTCCGCGGCTCGGCCCACAGGAGGACATGGACGCATCCAGAAACATCAGCGGTGTCCAATTTCATCCAAAACGAGGAAACGACACAAAACGCGTCCAGATGGGTGCCTATTAATGTCAAAATGATCTCAAATTCCGGATACTATTTCTAATTTTGTCTGGAGGTGCTGAACGGGAGAATCGGATTTGCAAATCGCAGGGCTCTATGTCGAGGGGCGGATGAGGCGAAGAGCCCAGAGTGGACCAGCGTATTAGATGGAATGATAATATCGGAGAAGACGACCAATTGGATACGGCCAAAATTGATTGACGGGTGGGACGTCCAAATATGTCAAACTCGAGGCAGTGTTGTTTTGCCTGCAGGCTGCAAGCGAGCACTATCATTTACTTAACCACTGCATGAGCGAAAACCCGCTTGAGCATGTCTAACATATATTTTATTTCCATCTTAAGGTCCATGTACTTGTACCCTCTTAACTGGATCAATGATTTCAACTTTAAGAAGCATGAGAATGGATAATAGTGTAGACAGTATATTTGGTGATTGTTAATATAAATAACATTGATTGCAATCATATTCAGAGTGAGCATTCGAGGGTCTTTTGTGTTCTGGAGGTCAAAATGGGGGAGTTCTCTCCTAACAAATGGAAGTTGTTAACGCTTGAGCACCCCCCACACCAGCCTGGCCACAAGTGAGACAAGTTGGCAAGAAACAAGTGTAACCCCCTAATTGACACAAGCGGCTAGTGTGTTGGCTGTAATAGCACAGCGTGTGTTTACATGGGACGCGTATTCCGCGGACATCCCCAAACATTGGAGAAAAGAAAAGAAGCCCAAACCTGTTGCCTTGCTGGTCCCACTTCGCTCTGCGAGGGGACTCGACACAAAGAGCCGGTCAGCAAAGTTTCAACAGAGAATTTCGAAACGTGGCAAACCCACAATAATATTCAAGTTTGAAACACACACGCGAAACTGTATTCTGTTTTGAAGAAGGATGTAGAAGTATTGTTTAGAGGGACGATTTTACTGATTTTAATCGACATACTAGCAGACATCAATATACGAGGGGGTGGGGGGGTGGCTAACTCGCTATGCTAATACGCTGTAACATTGAGGGTACTATAGTGAAACAAAGACGACATTTCTTATCGTGTAAGGCAAACAACGTCGTGGTAAAAATACGAAAATCTCACTTACCAGGAAAAACAGACCTTCTGTTTTCCCTGTGAAAATACAACTTGGGGGGGAAATGCGCTTAAAACTTGACTTATTCTTCCCATAACACCGTGACAGACAAGTACTGTTGAAGCCCCGCTGACGTGTAATGCGAATGTAGTTTAGAAGGCATATTTACCGTGGCTCAGTTTTGCAGCATCCAACAAAGAGAAATCAACGACCGGAGACGAGAAAAAAAAAACAAAGTTATGGACTGGATCCTTTGCCCCCTCCGAGCTCCTGCGGAGAGTGGGCTTGAGGGAGATGAGGAAAGCCAAGATTGAAGCAGTCCGCCACCGCACTGCTGTCTTCGTCACGAAAATGAAAAGCCGTCTCTGACGCGAACCATAACTCAGCAATGACTCTGTTTCTTTTAATATGACTGAAATTGTAGCGACTTCATTTTTCAAGTAGACATTTTAGCAGCCTCCACATTGTCGCTTCCAAAGATGTATCCCTCCGCGGCTCGGCCCACAGGAGGACATGGACGCATCCAGAAACATCAGCGGTGTCCAATTTCATCCAAAACGAGGAAACGACACAAAACGCGTCCAGATGGGTGCCTATTAATGTCAAAATGATCTCAAATTCCGGATACTATTTCTAATTTTGTCTGGAGGTGCTGAACGGGAGAATCGGATTTGCAAATCGCAGGGCTCTATGTCGAGGGGCGGATGAGGCGAAGAGCCCAGAGTGGACCAGCGTATTAGATGGAATGATAATATCGGAGAAGACGACCAATTGGATACGGCCAAAATTGATTGACGGGTGGGACGTCCAAATATGTCAAACTCGAGGCAGTGTTGTTTTGCCTGCAGGCTGCAAGCGAGCACTATCATTTACTTAACCACTGCATGAGCGAAAACCCGCTTGAGCATGTCTAACATATATTTTATTTCCATCTTAAGGTCCATGTACTTGTACCCTCTTTTGTCCTCACTTGAAAGGCAATTTAGCGTACAAGTAGAACGACTGTGTATAACAAGCAATGTCTCCCCTCCCTATTACTAGTGCTACTTTTCACCTGCTAGTATGCAATTAACCAGACAATAAACTTTTCATCAGTAATACCCCTTTTAGCATTTATTTACTGGTAATATACTTGCTTTCTATCTAAAGGTCCATACACTCTTTGTTCTCACAAGTAGGACAACTTTGGCATACCAGTAGGGCATCTGAATTTTACTTGGGTGCCAAACTGGAAAAGTTGACCAATGTGTGCTAGTACTACAACTGACATAAAACTCTTTGTGTTTATATTGAGCGCTTCACTAGTAGTATTGCTGAACGCAGCTGTCAACTTTATCCTGGTTGACACATGTGTGGTGCTACTAGTACCACTTTTAAAATTCTGCTAGTTTTAACATCACTAGTTCTATTAACAATGCACAGATGTCAACTAGTGCACCATTTTGCCTCACTAGCAATGATGTACAGTAATGATGGCTCGTATCTTGAAAAACTCATATCTACTTCTACTCCCTTTGGACTTGTGTAAAAGAAAAAAACTTAACACGTGAGAGTACCTTCCTACAAAAAAACGTCATGTCATTTGATTTTCATGACCAAAACTTTTGAGTGGGGGTAGGTAGGAGGGGAGACCTACACTTAAATGTCACCATTTGTTGTGCGGCTTGAGACAAGAGAAAACCTCAACTGGTTTGCACAGAAACGACCGCAACATCTGTGCTGGCCTTTTACGAGAAAACCCAACATCCCAACATTCAACACACACACACACACACACGCACACACACGCACACACACGCACACACATGCACACACACGCACACACACACACACCTGTAAGACATTAATTGTAGTACTAAAAGGAGATTATATTCTTTAGAACTACATCCATGCCCAAAAGAATTTCAAACCTAAACACATGGCACCAGCCCTCTTGGCCCTCGTCAAGGTACATCATAGGCGCATTTGAATGTTCGCGAAAGAATGAGCGCAATATACTCACCCCTAGACATATTTTCAAAAGAGAGTCGATGTGAGTGGATCAACCTCAATATGACAAAACGTGTTTCATGTCACGGATTCGTTTTGCTGCTCCTGCAGTGCACTTGGGGGAAACAGAGCATGTGTTTGTTTGCATTGGAGCTGATCGTATTGCTGCGCTACATGAACATCAAACGACACTTGGTTTGCTGCCTTTCAGAAACTAGGACAAATTAAATGATGCAGTGTGCGGTGGGGTAGACACACACACACACATACACACACACACACACACACACACACACACACACACACCAATATTGAAAAAAAAAATCTATATTTAGGTTTGGAACTCCATTTTCCTAACACACCCACACATTCATGGCCTCATCTTACACAAGCACCTTAACTTTGTAAATGGGTTACCCCCATATAGCCGCCCACGCATCAGGTACAGTATGAAAACCTTGGGCATCCTGTTATGACTTCTGGTTTCCTGTTTCCTGTGAAAAAAAAATACAGCGCAGTCTTCTCACACACATGAAACAAACTCATGCACACCCCTACTTGTAAGGCATCGTGCTAAGATCGGATGGGAATTAGCAGAAGTGACAAAAGTAAATCTGCTCTGTACTTAAAGGGGAAGTCAAGTCAAATATTTTCTTGAGAATAATGATGTTCTCTGCGGCCCTGTCCGACTAGCCTAAAGATAGTATTCTGATCAATATTGTGTTTGTGGAGTATGAATTAAGCAACAAAATCTAGCCGTTTTTATTCATCTCAGGGGGGCGGCCATTTTGCTACTTTTGCCGTCGACTAAAAATGACATCACAGTTATCCTGACTTGGATAAAAACTGGTGAATTGTGGGGGCGCATAGAACACATTATTATAAACTACATCTCTGACTTGTCGTCCCCTTAAAGTACAGAATTGTGTGTAAAATAAAAGATTCAGGCAAAAGCACTCCTGATTCAACTCTTGTACTTCCATCCATCCATCTATTTCTATAGCACTAAAGTCATGGGTGAATGGGAGCCTGTTCCAGCTGAGTTTGGGCGAGAAGCAAGTTGCCTGCCTATCGCAGGGAACAAAAAGACAAGATAAACATTCGCACCTATGGGTAAATTCGTCTCTGATGAACTAAATTTCCATGCATTTGGGATGTGGGAGCAAGCCAGAGTACTCAGAGAGAACCCAGGCAAGCACAGTGAGAACATGAAAACGCCACACAGAAAAGCCAAAGCCCAACCTCAGAACTGCTCACATTTCAACCAGCATACCGCCATTACTGTGCTTCAATAAAAGTAAGTAAATATTTGTTTGGTTTTGTTGTCAAATCCCCAAGATCACAATCAATTCAGTTCTTAACTGCGGTTGACTCCCATACATCTTTAGGTTGAAAAAGTAATTGACAAGGTGGAGAGAACAGATATTGGGTTTCAAATTTAGGGAGTGAAAGTATAAAGGCAATCCGGAAAATAAATACTCAAGTACAGTACAGAGAAATTAAGTACAGTAATAAAATTACTGTACTTCATTATCTACAACCTGGTTTCCGAGAGACACGCATTGCTATGTTTTTATTTCATGTCGGGTGATTCCGCACAAGCTGTGCAGTTGTCAAGGGACAAGTGCACCAGCAATAACAGCGGCGTGCGTGTGCTCATGTGTGAACTTTAGGGCCCGCGTTTGTGTGAACAGCATGAAAAAGAAGCGAGTGTGAGCTACACAACGCTCCTGCCGAGATACCTGAGCATCCCTCGCCACAGGGGTCAGCTACATCGCTCCTAATGAGCAGCTCCACCTTCCCGTGGTGCCTCTGGCTTTTTATTGTCAATGTGTACACGCTTAATTGTCTTGGCACAAACATCACAACCATTTCTTGAATACGTTATGGACAACGTATATGCTTCAGGAATCATTTGGCAACTCGTTTTTTTTTTTTGTTTTTGTTTTAGTTTGTTTGTCCAGTTGAGATTCTGTTGTGACAATAGAGGAAAAAGAGGCACCATATCCCCCTGTTCTTTGTGGTCCTTTTTTTTAAGCTCAACATCCCCCTGCC